AATTTTTTTTTTTTAAAAGAGACAGTCCATATTCTCATCCCCATTATGCATCCTACCCTTTTTCCATCTTTGGTCTTCTTCAAGTTCCAGGTGCCATCGGGCAACTTCTCAAAGAACTTTCTTGCTTTTGGTGCTTGGTCAAGGATGTGGGTAGGTGGTATCCCCAAAACTTCCACTATTTTATTCATTTGATCCACCTGTTCCAAACAAAGAATATTTGTGAAGAACATGTGACAGCCAGCTGAGCAGTGTGACAGAGTGATATTCTACAGTCACAAGGGAAGCAAACTTTAACTACCCAGACAAGTTCTAAATTAATTGTGAGTTTAAGAAAAATCCAATATGTACAAAACAAATTAGTGAATAAGGAGTAAGAGAGCAGACCCAGAAACAGAAAATTATTAACAGGCAATTCAGAGTTCTGACAAAAGACACTGCTGTCATTGACATTTATTCATTTTAGAATTACTACACTTTCCTAATTTATGCATTACAATTAAACAGATTAAAGTCATTATGAGAATGAACAAAAAAAAATCAAATTACTTGTACTGTAATATAGCTGCATACCTCATTTGCCCCACTAAAAAGAGGCTCTCCAGTGTGCATCTCAACTAAAATGCACCCAAGGGACCACATATCAATTGCAAGATCATAAGGCATTCCCAGTAGCACCTCTGGTGATCGATAAAAACGACTCTGGATATATTGGTATATCTGAAATAAAAGCATCTAAAGGTAATACACAGCATCCAAAGAACATTATTATGATTCTGTATTACAGAACAGAACTACCATGAAATACATTTTTGGTGTTTCCAAGGTATCACTGATATGAAAAAGCATCTATACATTACATTAATAAAAGTATGTAAATGTTGATTCTTAAGAAAATACTAGTATTTTCTTAAAAAGTGCAGATTCACACGTTGACAGTATTTTACACTTTCGGGTTGATGAGTGTAATCTCATGCAATTACAGGTAATCATACAACAAAATTTTAGTTTACAGAAAAACTATTCCACAAGCCACATAGGACTCATGTAACTCTTCAGATAAAACCAATAGTAAAAGATCAAAAGCCACAATTATGTTGTGACGAAATGAGACTAAATTATCAGGTGATTCCAGGAACAAGATAACAACACATGGGGAAAAAGCAACCTCCTTATACCCCCAACTATACTGCTCATTCCACAGAGCAGATAATTCTATCTTGATTATGAACCTGGACACTGGTTTAAATGTAGGCATATTAAAAAAAAAAAGAAAAAGAAAGAAACAAACAAACAAACTTTAAAAAATCCAACTCCAAAACCCTTAACAAAAAATAACCCTACAAAAAATACCCAAAACAGAACCATACTTTATATTCTAAGTAATATGCAATTTTATTCAGCACCTTCCACAAAGGCACTGGTATTTCCTGGACACTTTTTAAGTTAATGAGGAATTACACTAGGTTTTTATATTTGTGCTTCTTAACACCTCAAAATTATCCTATGATTGACCTAAACAACCCAGATCTCACCTCACCTCCTTCACCCCAGGCTGAGAAGTTTCTAGTTTATAGCAAAAAGTCTTTTTATTAATCCAAATATATGTCTCACCACTGTTTTGAACAGAGCATTCAATATTCTAACCTGTTCTTCCCAAACTTATTATGGCAAAAAGTGGCAGTGTACTGCTGGCCAGTCCCAACTCCTCAAAAGAGAACTGGTAACTTGTGTTAAAGTTAGTCCATGAAATTTCTTAATTTTTTTCATATAATGATCCCATCTCCAGTATTGTTAGTCCTTTTACAAAACCTCACCTCTTTTGCAAATGTTGCGTATTTCTGGGAGGGGTTTTGGTTGGTTTGTTTGTTTTTTTAACACTCAGCTTTCCCAAAGCTAAAAGATATGAAACCTGACAAAGGTACATAACTGACCTGGGAAGGCTCAAAATCGTTTTTTCAAAGCAACTGAAGCCTAACTTCTATCTGTAGAAGTCTTCCTTACCTCTCTAGCTAAACAGGACACAATTACAAATTTTTGGACAACTATTTAATAGTACAGATCTATCCTAATCTGAAGAACTGTCAATAGAAAGCAATCTGGCCCTTTGTCCTAGAAATGCTTTGCACATATGCATCTTTACTGATAGTAATACTGTTGATCTCTAACACCTTATGTGAAAACTAGTTACTATTTAATTTAAGTCACCATTAATAAAGTTTAAATTAGCTATCGAGGTATTATGACTTAAAAATATTGAGTTTTTCATATGTATCCAACAGTAGCATAAATAGAATTTTCACTAATACTCACCCTCTGCCCAAGTTGACACGAACTGCCAAAATCAACAATCTTGATAGCACTTCGTTTGGGATTACAGAGCAGGATATTCTCAGGTTTTAGGTCACAGTGAATGATACTAAGTTCAGGAGTCGCCAGAAAAAGCAGTGCAGTGCACATTTGCTGTGCAAATTTTCGTGTCAGATTCAATGAGACACCTCTGAAGTTGGTGTTCCGCAACAGATCATACAAATTGTAGGACAGCATTTCAAAGACTAAGCAGAGATGGTTTCGGAACATGAAGTGACGCTTCAAATGCACTTTAAAAAGGGGAAGAAAATAATTAATGCATATCCTGTGTAGTAATTATTAAATACTAATTTAATTACAACACAGTGCTTAAATATTTTAATCAATATGAAGTAAGCTCACCTGTGAGATAACACAGTGTTACTTTTTTTTCCTACATCTATGGTTATTTACAGAATATTGCTGCCATGCCTAGGGTACAGGAGGACATTGTGCACATCCGAAGTGCCCTCAGGTATACCTCAGTAAAGCTACATTAAGCAAAACATCATTTAAAAGATAGAAGATATTTTTTCAAAATAAGCTATCACTCCCCTATTAGCAAAGGCAAACACATTTGCGGGTAAATAAAAATATCAGCAAGAAAGACAAGAAGCGTGAACTGTGTGTTATGCAAGCTTTGTCACAATACTCTTGATCTTCTTCAGGGGAGAGTTCATTTCTCCACGCTCCTAAAGCTAAAACTGTATTCAAATCCACGCAGATTGGAAAGAAGTGCACATACAGCAGCATTCTCAACAGTAAAGCAGATACCACACTTTAGACTAAATTCTTTGTTAGATATTTCCCATACATTTAGAGAGAAAAAATATTTGAATGACAGACTCATTTAAAATATACTAAGACATTACTGCAATTTATAAAACATGACTTCAATTGTTTACATCAATTAATAAAACTGATCAATATCCCAAAGGGATTATATTCATTTCATCAGTCATAACCTTCATTTATTAAACCAACCAACCCAGGCCAAATCAAACCAATTTTTTTTTATGAAATAGGTAAAAATTTCATCACATTAATCTGTTCAGAGGCAAGCAGGGTTTACCAGTCTACCAATCATTCAGGTTGGTTGCCATAACTAAAAGAAAATTGAAATAGGAAAAATACTTCAGCCCTCAGATAAAAAGCAACATACTCCCCTTTTTGTCATAGTAAAATCTTGAACCAATATTACCACAACGAGAATACAGACTTTCAGTTAGGCTCATTACTTGGTGTCCAATGGACCTTTTTTCCTCCATTATCATAAGCCAGTTGTTCATGTGTTCCCTACAACTGTAACAATACCATTTGCTTCCACCCTGATGCCAGTTCCTGTAATACATCATTGTCTACACCTTTCATATTTTCTCATCTTTGCCATGTTTCCACTATCCTCCCACCATGAAAGCACCAGCACCTATTCATGTCCTTGTGCTCTTCTTATCCTTGGCTCCAATTCCTGGAGTTGGACCTGCCAACTTGGCAAGAAACACCACTTACTCCAACTGATCTATAACTACCAGCATGCTACTGGCCAGCTGGTACCACTTGTAACTGCCACACAGCTCAAATAGTTTGCATAGGAGCTGAACTTGTCACATCTTTCCTTCAGTGAAGACATGACATTTGAACATTTCTCCTCCACTCTGCCACCAATTTCCATAAAACTTCAAGACCTTAATGCATTCTTACACTTGTGTTAGATCTGAAGGAGACCAGTCAGAAGATTTGACAGAAGCGTAAGCAGTTAAACTTTATGTCCTTAAAAATGAGGCTACGGTGTATTTAACCATATTCCTCCTGAAGGCCATGTTTTACATCCCATACTTGCAATGCTGTCAGCCTTATTCAGCTATTCTCAACATCATGCATCTGAAAGCCGATGAGAGGGTGAATGGTCCACATGCCCTACAGACAACTGATTTTTTACATTAATATCCTGAAAGCTTCAATCAAGCCTTGTTGAAAAAGTTCATACGCAACTGTTCCTATACTTACAAATACTTTCCAGCGAAGTACCTAGAGATCTCAGTTTTCCAAGGCCAGTTTTTCCATAGCATGCAATACAAGGTACTAATTCAAAACATTCTCTATTTGAGTTTTTCTTTGTTTACTGATGCTTTCCTGTTCACTAAATATTGTGTTAAATGAAAGGGGAACTTTTCAAATATACCCTAATAGATTTAGAAATCAGCCTGAAACAAGCCTAAAATCACCTGCCTAAGCAAAGGCAGTATTTATTATTTCTCCACTGTTCAAAATTATCAGAACTTCTTTTTCTTTTTTCCGTTTCAACACTGGTCTCTATATATAGCTATCCTGCCATAACTCACAGAGAGAAGACGACATAATGTTTTGGTCCACTTCATTTTACCTGATGTTACAAACAGAATCTTTAAAAATTTTAAATACGAAGAGCTTATTTGATGATGCCTATAGTGTTTTTATTTGCTGTGTATTAATGTTGAAACTGTTCATGTCTTTAGTGTTCCTGAAATATCTTCTTGGCATAATATGCTGTCAAGTTCAGTTTTTGTTTTATGTAAACACGTTATTAATAAATTTGAATTAAAAATACCTTAAAAACTTTTAAACTGATTACATAACATGTATTCTAAAGCTAATATTCTATAAAACAAGTTAAAATATAACTGAATACTGCTCAGCTAACTTAACAATGTATATTAACATTATTTTAAGGTTTCTCTCTAAACTATAGAAAGAAAAATTAGTAATCCAATATAAACATGCAAATCAGAGTATAGCTGTTGGTATTTCAGCATCTACAAACTAAAAGATGCTTAAAATCAGTTTCATTTTCTTTAATCACTCTTTTTCATACTCCTCCATCTCTCTTTACAACACGCTGTTGCTCTCCTTCCATCACCTTTTCTCCCAATTCTCCAATCCAGAGGATAGACAGGATTTAATACACTTTTTACATGAGCTGACTTAATTTCATCATTATTATAAAGTTCAAGTAGCATTATAAGTCAAAGGAACAGCATTCCAATCCACAGGAACTGTCAAAATTATAAGCTTTAAAATATTTTCTGAGCTATAAATAGGTAAGTCTTAATGTTTACACAAGTCTTATATCATTTTTGTTATGCAAAATTTTGAGCTTTTAAAACACAATCAAAAAATAATGATTTAGATAGCCATAAAACTAGTGTATGATGCTGTTTTACATTAAATATGCATGCTCATATCCATGACAGTTCTGAGATAATTTGAGATATATTCAAAGTAGTGAAAGATACGCAAACTACCACAGATCACAGCTTCTGTGGAAAAGCCAGTCCATGGCAACTTCGTCAGGTGTCCATCCCATTAACAAGAAAAACAAAATTCTACAAAAGATCTCAACACTTTAAAATAACAACTCTGTTATCCAAAATAATTTTGTAAATTCTCCTTATGGATCTGTTCCTGTTGCAAAGCAAACTGGAAAATTTGCACTAAATAATATTAGTAATTTTAAAAGTTGTATTATTCACTTCTTTAGCACCAGAAGCATTCTACACTACATAGCAAGACCTCAAATATTCAGAATTTGATTAAATAAAAATTTAGAATAACTATTCAAATACCTATATAGTACTTCATCTCAGTGTCATGTTTGTTCATAAGCTCAAGCAGTCGCACTTCAATCTGGGCTTGGTTTAAGAAAGCCTTCTTGTTTTTTATTATTTTGATAGCCACCCACTCCTGTTCCACTCGATCATAAGCCTTTACAACCTGAAAGACGAAAGTCAAATACATCAGTAAAATCTCTCAAGTTTTTGAAATACAGCAAAACACACTCTCTAAACTTTCTTCACTTTCTTAATTCAGAGAAAATATTTTTAGAACTTTTTTCTTTCCAGTTAAATTTGTTTTCTTATTTCTTCTCTTACTTGATACTACAATCAAGCCACAATTGATCATGTGACATTTATTGCAGTGATGTTGCAAAACAGAACAGAGGCTTCACTAAGGCAAGCATTATATCCAAATGCAATTATAAAATCATCAAAAGCAATACTGTAAAAGAACTGGCAGAATCAGAAAAAAATTAACAAAAACAACAAAAGAAAAGGTCCATCCTCCTTCCAGCCTTTTTCTCAAGCCTTGGCTACAGCTACAAACAGTTAAAACAAATGTTACCAAGTAACATTCGTAATAGGCAATCCCTAGCACTAGACAATCTTTCAGTTTGAAAACCCAAACCAAACAGCTGATAATGTGAACTGACAGCAAAGGCTGCGGACTTGCTCATTGCAAAATGGTTTACCAGATCTACTTGCTGAAGTATATTCAAATGTTATCAGTAGTAACAAGAAACAGCACAAAACACAAGCGAATTGAGCAGGCACTCAGTACAATCGGATTAAGAAAAAAATAGTTTAACTTCAAAATGAAACAAGAATACCACTTCAAATAAAATGCATATGAAGATTCACATGAATTATATGTTGGTCAGCTGATACACATTACCTGTCCAAAGGATCCTTTGCCTATTAAAGAGTCAATTTCATAACGATCCATCCACTTCTCCCCATTTTTTACAATGTAGTCATAGTTATCATCATCATAGCCGTCATTGTAAACTTTTCTCTCCTTTTTGTGACTGGAATCATCTCCTTGGCCCTGCTGATGCCGCCGTTTTTTTTTTGCATAGTAAACCTAAATGTGAAAAGTACATTGCTTAAGAGCACTTTCTAAACATCAGTTCAATAAAATCAGATTTTATAATCATCATACCTACTCCTGTGATTTTACAATGCAACTTCTACTACTGGAAAAACAAACAATCCTCTCCTGCTATCATTATACCAAAGCAAAGTTTTGATGAATAATATAAAAATCCAGAAAGTGGATCTAAACAAATGCACTAGTAACTCAGATCTCTAGAGCTGCAAAAAAACAAAATAAAACAAAAAGATACATAACAGGACACCATACAGCCAACAGAACTAAAAATGTTAAGTAGCCTGGAAACAAGAGTTATCAGTTGCGCTCTCCACAAGACTGGGAAAGAAAAATTCCAAGTCAGTCAGTAATCACTGCGGAAATTTCTTCATATTCGCAACAATTACCAAAGAGTTAGAAACTAAGTGATGCTTTCCTATATTAACCACATTATTTTTACATTTTACATTTGCCAATAATATTTAATGAAATAATTTAGGGAAAATACTACCATTTTCCTTTAAAGTCCTTATGACACATTAATAAAGGTTTATAGCATGAGCTAAAAGAGTGTTTTTGTCACTCATATTTCCTTATCATGCAACAGAAAAGCTCAACATTTGTTTACAAAACAACAGAAAATAATTTCCAGGATAAAAAATTTCCTATGTGCTGGACAGAAAGCAGGACCATGACATGAATTATCTCAAATGAGGTGTGAATAACAGAGAGAAAGCTTGATTTTCTTATCTCTTCACAAGATTACTCATAGAAAATATACTTAATAATGTATTGTAAACAAAAACTACACATCAATACACATTACAAAGACAGCTGGAACCATTACCTCATTAATATGCTTGTATGTTTTGATCAAATCTACGGAGAGTTTCCTCAGTGGAGCAGTGGCTGGATCACGGAAAGTTTGGGGCATCCGCCTCTGCAATATGACCATATAATAAATTAAAAAAAAAGCTCGGACTTTAACAAAATAATTACTACACCAAACTGTGATACTCCTCACAGAAATGAGCTATTTCATTGCAAATTTTTCTTCTTTAAGCTGACCTTAAAAAAAAAATACCAAACCAAAACACAAATAGAGGAATCAAAAGAAATTAACAGTTAATTTTTAAATATATTTAATTAATCAAAAACATACAGAAATAAATCTCCTCCCATTATGCCTAGCAGGCTTATTCCCAATAAAGTCTTTCCCCCAGTCAAAAACACAGCTCCTTTGACAACAGAGATTCTTCCTGACATTACTCCTCTACCTCATGACTGTATGTGACCTGTAACTATATTTAATGTATAGCCGCCTTAAAACCACAAATGGAAGTTAACAGTAATAACTACTGGACAACTGTGGCAGTTTGCCACATTTAAACTGTATTAAATTCCAAATAAAAAAACCTCAGGTCTACCATGCTTTGCAATATCCAGGCCTAAATCTAAATATAAAACCTAAGGAAAATCTAAAGAAACCTAAAGTGTGCACATGAACACCGTACCTACTTTTAAAGTTTAAAAAAAAACATCCCTGAAAAGGTAGTTATGCTCCTCGTATGTGTTTCCTAAAATTGACTACGTTTAGAACAAAATAATCTTCAACAGCAGGCCATTTTTTAAATTGTTTTCCTGAAGAAACAAGACTTATGTGTGATAAAATTACTTCTGTGCCTCTTTTTTCTTTGCATGCATGTGCCATGTAAATTCTGGACCTACCAATTAAGTTCTATTCCTCCTCAAGATTTTGAAATCTCAGAAGATAAAGTTCCTGAAAAGATGAAGTTCCAAGTGGCAAGCCGGAGTAGTACCACCAGCAAAGAGAAGGCAGAAAAAACTAAATCAGAAACCACTTCATTTGGCTAAAGCTGACTACCTGCTCAGCAAACACTTAACAGCACAACTGTACCACTAGACAAGCTCTGGCAACTTCTCTGTCTCACCCAGTGACAGTGTCAGATGCAGAGCTTGGAGAGTGATGAGCTAGCTTAGTGTGACTGGTCCCCTAGCCTGCCTCTCTCTATTCCCTCTCTTCTCAATGACAGAAAACCACACAGCAAATTTAAGCAATTCCTTTGCAGAAAAGCTTGTTTCATGTATGTTAAAGGTTCTACCACTTCCTTACTCATTATTAAGAGGATTAGGTGACTGAGCACCACCATACTCAGCCTTACAATTCTCATTTCATGCCATCAAATACAGCCATGCTCATAACTCTCTTCACTTTCAAGTGCTTCATATCTCATCTACTGCCTCCTATTACAGCTAAACTGATATGCAGCCTCCTGCAGAGCTGAGGAAAGAGCATAAGCCACCAACAAAAATAATGAAACTGATTTCTATATCAGTATTGCTGAACCAATAAATGAACCAGCAAAGCGTAACTGCTCCTCTATCTTTCATGGTATTATCACTTAATACTTATAGTTGTGGCCGTGCAAATAGCTCATTTTTTGCCCAATGACCAAATAAAATAAACACATTGAAGTAGCCCAAAAAAGTTCTCACAAACTGAAGAGATAAAGAGAGTTTATGCTTCTGAAATTGGAACTGAAGTCAGGTACCCAAGAAACCATACTAGAAAGCTAAGCTCACACACCCCTCCGGTGGATGCAGAGACTGCACGGGGGGAGGAAAGAGAGTGTGAGCAAGGGTGAGAGAGTACGAAAGAGCATGAACAAGCAAGAGAGCTAAAAAGAGGGGGGAAAAGCTAAGAAACCACCAGTAAGCTTACTGCATCTGCATGAGGCTGGGACTCCCAACAGGGACAAAACTCGGTGGAGTTGAAGCTTAATGAGAAATGGCAATTCAAAGCTTTGATGCACACCACTCCAAATATGCCCATATAACGTTTTTACACCCCTGCAAGACTGCTGATTTGTGGTCTTCTTGATTAGGTAATGTTTCTCAGAGATAATGTGATATAGGTTGAACTTCCCTCAGGGAATTTTAACCCCAGTCATGCCCTAGGTATTTGTTCCAGTCAATTCACTTTTGGGTATGCCTGCTACCATCCATTTCCCTTAAGAAGTTTCAAATTAATTCCTTAATTCTTTTTTACTACAAGCACAAACATTTTGTAAACATCAGGAAAGTCTGTTTTAAAGTTTCCTAAACAAACTATTTGACATTTACAAAACATTTTTGTTTCTTCCTTTCATCCGTCAAACAACTGTGGAACATAAAACAACTCACACCTAAACATGATCTCTTTTGGTTCTCTCCTATGGCACTGTTAAGCAACTAAACAGCATCCAGTCCTAATCCCACCTGTCACTTTTACAGGCTTTTCAAACGCAAGCATTGCCTTTACATTTCTTAATCTGACTTAAAGAGATTATTGGAACATGAGAACCCCAGTAGATTTTGCCGGTAAAAGAAACTATGCTGCAGTGCATCAACACTGGCAGGGACCAGTCTCTGTCTGAGGCTGACATGAGCAGCACAACATCTCCAATACCACAGGTTATGAGCTTTGAGGAAAGAGACTCAGTGTGGAAGAACTCCGTAGTTCAGATCAACTATTCACACACAACGTTGCTCTAATTTGGAAAGAGAATTTGTAGGACCAGTATTCATGTTTATTTTCTAATTTATAAGTCAAATTCACTTGCTTACTAAAAAAAAAAAAAATCTTCCAATTTCAACTCTGAAATAAACAGCCTAGTGAAAAAATATCTAATTTGTTGCCATTTCCTAATAATAAATAATTAAAATTCTGCAGGCTACCCCTATGCTGCTTGCAGCCAGTACCTTATTTGAAAATTGTGCCTTTAATTGTGCATTTAGACAGTCACACATTTCTGAGGACACATTTTAACCTATATGAACTTTTTAACAGGTACTATTTTTCTATCCTGAGTTCATAAAGTTTTGGGTGGGAGAGAAGAAAGAATTGACTTTTTCTTCCTCCCCGTTATACTGCAAAATTCGAAAAATAAGAGAATGTTACAAAAATCCTTTTGGACACTCTTGTTCCCTTCTTCCTGATGATGGAAGATGATGGAACAAAGTGGTCATTATCCATTTTATACAATAACACTCTCAAATTCTTTATCACTGGGGTAATACCAATTTCCCTCTTAGCTTCAGAGAATGCTCAACCACAAAAAAAAAAAAGGAAAGAAAAATAAAAATCCTATTGCACAAGCTTCAGTCTCTATCTGGTGGCCAGACCGCAACACTGCAACCTCAGATCTTCCCAAACATAGAAGACAAATCAAAAGATATGCTTGTATTTCAAGACTGAGAGGTAAGAAACTACTTTCACTACTATTATATATGTCAGTAAACACCGATCGCATTCTGACTGGTCCACACTTATGCCTCAATGGAAACAGTACAGCTACCTCGGATGGTACATTGCAAGTAAGGAATTGAAATTTGATTTTCTTACCTATTAACCAAACACACATGACACAGTACTGAGAAGCAACCTGTAACTAGTCTAAACAAAGAAGAATCAAATAAACACAAAAAAAAGCCAAACAAGAGCCCCAGTCACATGTACTCAACACATTTGAGACAAACCATGTTTTAAGGAAACTATGAGTTTTAACTCAGGTATGTTGTTTTAACTAGCATAGTCTTTGAGGTTCAATGAATGAAAGAACAGATAACATATTTATCTCTCTTTGGATATATGCTTTGTTATCTAAAACACAGATGGCACTGTTCTTTACTAAATGCATTTAAAAGTAGGGACCAGGGGAAGTACAAGAAAAAGAATGACAAACCCCGTGCTGAAATTCTTGTTGCTGGGAGCATAAACATTTCCTTCTAAAAAATGTCTGAGATAGATGGAAAGTGAGAGAAATACTTCTACTGAAATGAAGTGCGTGCTCACTCACATTCATGACAGTCTGGTGAAGTCTGACCATCATTAATAATAATGTTGCTGATTAGGTAGCTGAAGCAACTGAACTAAGGATTTGCTACTGCCTAGTAGAACACATTTAACTTTGCAATGATCTAGTTGCAATCAATAAAATCTCTGGCCAACATCTGGTCAGTAAAACCTAGAATTTTACATGTGATGTCATCTTAGATACATATAAAGAGAAAGATGTTTAGCAGTCAGCCTGACCTTTGAATTCCAGGTGCTTTGTGATAACTAAACTCTTGAAAGTTGTTACCAAAATCTTCCCATGAATCTCACCTCAACTTCCTTATCAGGTAAATCAATTTTCTAATCTTTTGTACTTAACTGAAAAAAGTTTCAGGCAATCTGAGTATTCATGATGAAGGTACACATTAGCACAGCACAAAAGAAATGCTTGATTGAAGTTGTGAAAACTTTTAAGCTCTTATCTTATATTCACGTCAGGCTACGTTGAACTCTCAAGATGCAACCAGTTGAAACAGGACAAAGAAATATTACTGTTCCTTACTGCTAAAGTAGAAAGGTCCCACAGATCTCATATTTTCACTCTAGGCCACATGCTCTTACTGCTTTCCTGAAGCTGGCTCTGGCATTTGTCAAGAAAGGTAAGACCACACAACCAAGAGCAGGACCCAATCCTGCCAGCAAGCCCGGCACTTGGTGAATCACAGATTTAAAATAAACCCATACGATCCAGCGGTTTTCGGGGAAAAAAATCCTTAAGCCTGACTAGTGGAGGGGGAAAAAAAAAAAAAAAAAAAAAAAAAAAAAGGCAGAGCTGGAAGTTTTTAACTGTAATTTAAAACCTCATAAATAAGTGAAAAACAAAGCAATCTGGTTGGCTTTGAAGTATCTTCCTGTTCTCTGTTCCTTGCCAATTATGAGATGAGTAAGTTTTGGTCAGCATAGCTGTACAGCAATAGGTGCAAGAGAAGATTACATAAATAATATTTTAAGGGTAATGTATAATATAAATACAGATAATTTATATAACTTTAATATAAATTGTCATTACTGTTTCCTAACCTCTAATCTGCAACTGTGAATGAATCATAAAACACCAGAATATGGTCTGCAAGCCGTTACAAATCAAAAAACAAGCAGGACAGAGTGGGAATTAAAACAATAAATTAACATTCAAGGCCTAGTTTCCCCATTATTTGGTTATGAATGAAAATCATTACGGGAACTTGAACAAGACAATGCCCCTCCAAAAAAGGAGTCAGTCCTCAGTGAAAAGAAAGACAGAAAAATAACCTGAAAAAACATTATAAGGCAGATCATCCTTGCCATTTATCAAAATTACATAATTTACAGAAAATGTTGCTGTTCTACATGCTAAAACTTAACAGCTACTCTTAGCAACAGACAAGCCGTAGCCTTACACATCTTGCTGCAGTCTAAAGAAATTTACTACTTGATATCTATTATTTCTATAAAACTTCAGCATCCCAAAAGCTGACACCTCATCCTGGGTGTTAAATTCAAGTAAATCAATTCTGTCTGGGTTTGGACAAAATACTCTGTTTAAAAAGTTCAGCAAGTGTAGCAATCAAGAAAACAACCTTTGTAACATTTGTATTCTCAATTCCTTCAATGAGAGATTCATTCAAAGATATGACAAACTGCTCTGCAAATTATTTAACAGAAGTGAGTTTATTCAAACGATGACATATTTGGAGAGGAGAGGGCTGACTTCTCTAGCAAAAGGCGATGTGCCTTGCAGCAAGGCAGGCAGTGCAGTGCGGCACTCCGGCCAGCAGATGGTGGCTGGAGCTCGGGAAAGAATTTTGCCTGGCGGTCCCGGCACAACCACCACAGACCCTGGGAGACTCCTGCTTCATCGACCTACCTGGCTACTGCATCAACAAGGTAATGGAGCACGTTAAGGAGCAAAGGAGCTGACAACTCCCTGTTAATCAACCGTTGGACGCCTGTACCCAAATGGGTTACTTTTAGGCTCTGGAAACTGGTAGCTGACCAAACCAAAGCTGACCCAGCCATCTAGGCTGCTGACAACAAATGTTGCATTAGGAAATAATGGGAAACGGAAGCTCGGAGACCTAACTTCGTGGCTGTTTGACTGGATGCAAGACACTGCATTAAAATGATCTACCCTTTAGGAATTACACCTTCTGGATCTGCCAAAAGTCACCTTTTTCCTCCTCCTATTTTTTACGGCTATTTTAGATCAATTTATCACACCTTCTACAACAGACATTCAGACTATTCCTTTTGCTGCCCAAGTTAAAAACACGATCTTCTTACAGAATCATAGAATGGTTTGGGTTGGAAGGGACCTTAAAGATCATCGAGTTCCAACCCCCCTGCCATGGGCAGGGACACCTCCCACTAGACCAGGTTGCTCAAAGCCTCATCCAGCCTGGCCTTGAACATCTCCAGGGATGGGGCATCCACAACGTCTCAAGGAAACCTCTTCCAGGGTCTCATCACCATCACAGTAAAGACTTTCTTCCTAATATCTTACCTAAATCTACCCTCTTAACGGTATGTACTTGAAAACATAGAAGTATGTCACCTCATGCGACTGAACAGAGTTTGCCATTACTAAAAGTTTAGTCTGGCATTAGAAGCTTCAGTAACAGACAAGCACATAACAACAGAAAGAACTAGTGGTGAGATTCCAATAGAGGAATAAAACAACCACACAAGAAGGACAGTTCAGAAAATGACCTCTCCAAGAGTTGTTCAGAATTGACATATACAGGACAGAACTGTTTTTATCAAGGACAGAGAGAAACAAGTTGCAGCATATTCAAGGCAACTCCCTGAATAAAAAGGATTCCTGTAGAAATGTCGTAAAGAAAGAAACTGTACGATGTATGTATCATTTAGACATGAAAACGTAGTCCACAGCAATGGAGAAACATAAGACAGCACACAGCCTTCAACAAGGTTTTTCTATGAAGAAAAAAGAGTAAGACTTCTGTTCTAATCAAGATGAACTAAAGCTGTCAAAAGGGCTATTGAAAGATTGAACAAGAATTTTTTTTTTGCTCAGAGACAAGGTCTAGAGTAGATGATCTGACTCACCAGCATAAAGATAGTAGATGGATTGATTTTGCAGATAAGATTAACCAGAAGTACAGTGCAAAGGAGAAAAGCCATTGAGACTCTCCAACAGGAGCTCATATAGAACCTTCATACCAGCCTAGAATCTGGTGAGGAGAACTTTTCATGGCACTTTTTGACAGGAGAAGCACAAGCACTCAAAGGAGGAAAAAGTCACGAAAGGCAAGTAGTCAGGAGACTTCAAAAAGTTGCCCACCGACAAAAGTCAAGGGGTGCTGAAAGCAGCTCACAAAGGAAAAAGGAGTAACAATTCTGAGCTGCTTAGGCAGAGGACTACAAAGACTTAAACAACATACTTATAATAAAATAGGAAGACACAAGCTACAATGCAGAACAAACAAGATGGAACTGGAAAAACAAAAACATTGATTCTATAAAACAGTGTTAGTGCTGCAAAGACAGCCTGATTGCCATTACCAAGGTGGCCAGTGGATCATCTCTTACATGGATAATTTCCCAGAGCCAGCCTCAGCTTTCTACCTACATCTACATCCTCATCTCAGTGGGCTGCATTCTTTGGTCAACAATTCTTAGCTGTTCTCTGAAAACTATCATCTACCATTTTAAAGCCATTGTGACCACAAACAGCAACAGATGGTGATACATCCTAAAGCTCCTTGAGTTTGCTTTTCGGTTTGAAAAAGTGAACAACTAAGCACTAAGATACACTAAAGCTCACAAACGTGACGCCACATAGTAACACTTAGATAAGTACCTTGAAGGGTTTAAGGAACACAGCAACTTTTCTTAATTGGCACACTGAGGCACTAACCTCACTGTGGAGGTTTCAGGGGACCTTTAACCTAAGAAAAGTCACATAAAATACCTTTGTATATTTCTCAAGCTAAACAGTATTATATATGAGCAGATTTGCTTTTCCTAATGAGTGGCTCTTACAAAAGTAAAAACATCCTTTGCCAGCTCAATTCACTTTGCCATTCCTCACAGAGCCCTCGTCATTACAGATCTCCAAATCTTAGTATCAATTATGTTCAGTTTGACCATTCTCATCCTCTCTAATCCTTCCCTCTTTCTGCATAAGTGCCTTCCTACAGAGCAATACCAACAGAACATCTCTTGATGGTACTGTAGAATTTTGCTACTGAAGCCATCTTGAACACAAGAACAGACCTGAATCTGGCAGCAACAAAAAACTTCACTCTCAATCCTCTTTAAGTGGAGCGTGCATCATCAGCCTGCACCACATTTTGATCTGACTTACAGACTTCTAGATTTTAAGCTTCGAAACCCATCTGTGTTCACATCTACCCAACTGAGCTGTGCAAGTTTTAAGAAAGCAACAGAACTATCTGTCATACAGGGCAATACTAGCTCTTGTGACTAGCAACCTAGCACTATTAGTCAGTAAGCAACTTCAGCCACTCTATCAACTCAAAAGTGTTAAGGAAGAAATACTTATCCTGACAGCTCAAAATAATTCATAATCATCATAATCCCTGTGTTCATTTTACCTCCTTGCAATAAGTAAACTACTAGTAGTAAACCCCCAGTGATAGCATAGCCTTAGATTTTGCATTTTTTTAAAAAGCTTATCATAATAAAATGTGTCTTCTCTGCAAACCTCTCTATTCCAAATACACTAACCAGTGACTCCGCATTAAGATGTTGTCCATTAGAATAAGTAATAAAGCAATCACATTCTAACATCAAACAGCCCTAAAAAAAAAGCTATTATTAAACTCTCTCTCTGACTCTCCACTTGGACAATCTTTCTCCTCTCTCATCTCAAAAATGTTACAAGTAGAATAATCACAATAAATATGTACCAGATGTTTAAAAACAACTTCCAGAAACTTATTCATCCACCCATTTTTGAAGAGTAAGGAGTTATATAGTTAAAATTAAAAAACAAACAAACAAACAAACAAAAAACCCCCCCAAAAAACCCCACAACCAAACACAAAACCATATGCCCTGATCCTGTAATTTATGGGTGTATAATATATTTAGAGAAAGAATTATTGCATCTAAAATGACTTTTTTGTTACCTCTTACCTGGTTTGTTAATGTTAGAGGTTGCTGAATCTGGTCAGCATATGATAAGGCAGAAACCTGTTGGTCATTTATGTTCTGCTGCCGACGATCACTGTACTGCTGATGCGAATGGGACATCTGTCCAGCCATCTGAAGGCCAGCAGCATGGAATGAAAATGATGGTGCAAGCCGAACAGATGAAGGTTTGCATGCTGAAGTCTCTCCTCCTGCAAAGACAATGTGAGTTTTTAATACAGTTAATGGCTTGAAAACATTTACTGCAGTTAGCCACTGTCTCCTAGCTTACAGAGCTTATAAACACTAATAGTTTCAACATTTTAACATACACAAGAGTTTTCATACACAACGAACCCAGAAATCATCCTCATGTAAAGATTACCTAGCTGTAGTACTTCTTCCCATTTCATTGTGACAAATTATTCATTAAGGATAAACAGGAATAAATCATTAACATCCCTTTTCTAACATCTTCACCTATGTATCATATCTCAATTGGAATATGACTGGAGTTATTTTCAAAGATACGAATTTTGGGTATGGATGCCATGAAAGCCACAAAAACACACAAGTTCTGCCTTCTAAGGTTGCTCACAGCAACTTTCTGGACTGACTGTACCAAAAGAAAAGAAAAGCTAGTGCCCAGCCTCAGCAGCTCATCATCCCTGGCCTCCATGTTTATGCCTCCCTAAAAACTGCTTAGCTCACTAGCCTACATTTTTAATTTCCATGCTTCTTCCAATGCATGCTGTACTTCACCTCAGCTTCCTGACTCCTACTGCTGAGCTTTATCAAGCTATAGGTAGCAAGCACTCTTAACTTGAATGAATTCCTCTTTGGAAAGGTGAAATCACACTGCAAGAAGGAACTGCAAAGCAACTGCAAAGCAAGAGATAGACAAAACACTTGGTGTCAAGTTGCAGGAGAATGGCAAACCACATGGCCAAAGTACTAGATTCCGTAACATCCTGAAAAATGCCAAATTGCACAGGCACAGAATCTGTCTCTGAGGACAGATCATGCACCTCTCACCTTTTGTTTCAGACATCCTTCAGATGGCATTTAATTGGTTCATAGTCTACTTGTATCTTCTCTGGCCTCTAACAGTGGAGGACAGATTAAAGTACAATTTGGTTTTCTTTGTTCGCTAATGAAAGTTTAGCATGTTCCACATTCAACATCCATCCTTTTGCTTTTTGCTGACTATGCCAGAGGGGGGAAATTCTCTAAATGGATGCCATGTTGGCACAACATAAGAGAGAGAGCAGGATGGGACAAGCAGTCAGGCACACTGAAGCCAACACTGCCACTGAAGGAATATCAGGAGCTGAAATGTGAAAGTACAATTATTGGTAGAGATTAAATTTAGAAGCAAGATGTGAAATTATCAAGCACCTTAACCAGTAAGGGAAATCTCCATTTCCTTTGCAATCAAAACCTTGCAAGAAAATATAATCAGTAGAAAACAGTAGATGAACACCGCCCATCAATTTGACTTTCTTAAGAATACCTGACTGCTCAATTCACCACCTATTCTAAGTTAAGAAAAAATAAAATATTGAAAATGATACTGCATCATGGACTCAGTACCTACCAGGGCAGTAGAAGAATCGCATGGGATGAAATCAAACACCATTTTACATTAAGATCATCTTAGAAAAATATATTCAATAAAAAAGTCAAAATAATATTCAAACAGCTATAAATAAGAAAGTCTATATATAGTATAATCACGATTACTTTAAAAGGAGTGAAGTAAAATTGAGCAGTGAAATACTGACAGACCGCTGGTATTTTTCTCCAGTGTCACAATTCAGTACTACTAAAAGACTAACAGAACAAAATGCTCCCGAAAATGAACTGGTAGTCCACAAGCACCCACATATTTTCACAACATTTCCTTAAATCTTCAAACATTTTACTCAACAACAAAAAAAACCCCAAACCACTGTCATGAAATAACTATAACACATGCATGATGGTGCCTCTGGTAACATGATAAAAGTATCAAGATGACCTTACAAATGGAAATAAAATAAAGACATTCCTGACCTAAAACCATTATAAGCTAAGTCAACCTAAAAATGCACAGAAAATTACTCTTAACTCTTCTGTAAAATATTCATTAAAAATGTCTTTGTGAATTTAACACAAATACAGATCCTATTAAGCTCTGAAAAGGAAACTGTCCTCCAACACTTAAAGATACAGTGAAATTATTAGTTAAATATCTGAACGTAAACTTTTTAGCATACTTGCATCTTATTCTGTTTTCATTGCAAGTAACTTGTTATGTTCACCTAGGAAATGGGCAACAGATTGGTGCCTTCTTTTTTAAATTTGAAATCCTGTATTACGAACTTCACAAGTTCACATTTAAATACAGGGGGAAATATGTGCAAAGATTCTAATGAATCAGCTGCTCTCTCTCAAAGATACCATGGTTTCTTTATATATTAATGCACCTGTCACTTAGATCATGTAAAAACATATAATTTTTTTTCTCACTACCGTATTTTCTTAATGTCTAAGCTCCATTTTTACTAGAGAATCAGAGTTGATCTTCCATCTACACAACCTGGTAAATTTAGTGTACATTTACTTTCTAAGATATACTGGACACTCCTGAAAAAATTGGTGAACACATGTAAACCATTATTTGGTATGTCTACTTTCTGCTCTTTTAATTTCTCTGATTTTTCTGCTTAACCTGAAAAAAAAAAAATGTCACCAACATCATGGTTATTCATAAATAAACAATATTTAAATCAAGTAGTCAAAAAATACCATTAATTCTAAACTGTAGAGCCATTTACTTCAAAAGTTTTCTCTCTTGTATTTTTTTACCCCAGGTCATTTTCCCAGTAGCATACTAGATATCTAGCAATCTACATAACTTAATAACAACAAATTTTATTTAAAAAAATTCTGCACTTGCATGTGTCCCTAAAAATCCAGAAAGCTCACATACACAAAAATCTGGGTAGCATGGAGTTCTCATTTACTTGACTTCATAGTATCTTCTGACACTCACCCAAAAGATTACAACAAATTTGAGGATAACCTGAATAATGCACTACACACACTTTTTTTTTTTAAAAAGGCAAAAATAAGAAAAGTAGAAAAGGATCAGAAGTATAATTATCCCACAAAAGAAAAGTCATAATACTGATGTTTCACTCCAGCTTTAAACTTTTGATGCTTGAGCATCCTTTCTCTCCTGAGTCCACTAGCAGGACAATGAGGCTGTATCTTTCCTGATCTTCCAAACTGATGATGGTCAGTTGGACCAACTCAGTTAATTCAACAGCAGTGCCCCAAAAAAGAGAGCTTCATAATTACAAAAAGGTGACTGCACTGCACAATCACAAAGAAAGTTTCTCTAATTTTTGACAAATAACTTATTTTGACAAATATTTTATTAATTCAGTTTAAAAAATTTTTGAAGAGTCAATGTTTGTGATCAAGTATTTACCTATTTGCTTGGAGGCAAGGCAGGCACAACCTACGACATCAACATACATTAATAAAAATTGTATCAAACAAGAAATTTTTTATAAATTATTGTTCTTTGTTAGAAATGTAAATTGATTTCACAGACACTAAATCTCAGAAATAGAGACATTAATAAACACAAGAGCTAGACTAGAGTCCCATGACTTGAAGTCTGTTACAAGTAGACATATGGAAACTGGCTAGCTCACACAGCATGTTCTTATACCAAATAGAAAGGCACTGTAATAGTCTCTGTGAAGATGGTGGTATCTACCCTTAACCATGTTAGCAATAAGCAAGAACCACTTGGGTCAAAAGATGAGTAGCCAAGTTATTTTCATCTTTACAACTTCTTACTGTCACTGAAACGGAGACACAGGAGTTAACAGACTTCTGCTGAAAGCAGTCTTAGCTATCAACAAAAACAAGTAATGTTCAGGATATGGCCCCTGATGAAATACCTGCCCTTGCCACATTTCAAACTTTGTTCCATGATACTTGCAATCCTATCCCGGTACAACTAATCCCAAGAGAACACTCATAACTTACTATTATGAGCCAAGAAAACACCTAATGACATGTTAGGCAGAAAGGAAGGGAGAAAGAAGAATTGGCTAGAATAGCAATCTTGACCTCCTCTAGTTTTAGGCAGAGGAGTCAGCTATAGAAACAGGAACATTTGTGTACGTCCATTAACTGAGGTTCACAAAACCCCTGGTGGATGAAGTTCATTTGGAGAGGTCTAGGTATTCAAAAAAGTAAGTGATCTACTGACCACCATGGGAGTACCAAAATCCACAGGAGCTCATTACCACACCACTTCCATAACTTCTACAGGATAGAAATAGCTAAGTAACAAGGTCTAGTCAACGATCAATCTTCCTTTCTAACCACTGTAAGTTCAAATGACTACATGTTGTGAAGCACCTTGGGAAGGAAACGAAATTTCGAGTATTCCAAGATCCCTACACACAAAGTACGTTAAGGCAAGAGATTACAGACTGGGAGTGGGTAGAATTCTCTTACGAATGGGCCCTACCTAACGTGTTAGTTCAGGGAATGGCATAAAAATATACAGGTTGATGTATGTTTACAGTTTAAAACCAACATTTATTTCCCTATGATGACATTAAATCAGAACTTGTCATAAAGAATGTCCAGCTACAGAAGGCATCCCTTATTTCAATCTTGACAGCCTATGTTTCTTTTCTCCTATAGTCATGAATGTAACAGCTCTTTCAAAGTGAAGCTGTTCAGAACACCCTATTTCATTAGTGACATTCCATACACCATAGTACAAGCAAAAATGTAAGTGATAACAATAGTAACTTCTTGACTTTTGTAAATTTACTGTCTCTGGAAAGTAACAAGTGAGGAAGAAGTGAGCATTATTAAAATGCTACACTATTGTAAGAGCAAGCCATTATAACTAAAACCAGAAGTAAATGTTTAAAAGGGAACCAATAGCACAAATGTGATGACAGAGAAAACTTAAATTATAACCTCAAAATAACTCAGAACTATCTGAAAATATAGACACTGCAAAAATGGATTACCCTATCACATGGAAGAAGGCAGGGCATCATTAATGTATCATTTTAAACCAGTGGAAGAGTGTAAGTTCAAGAAAGTATTTCTTTATTTGGTGAGGATTGGACATATTCTCATTCAAAATAGGTTTGTTTTAAATGACTTTTCCAAGTATCAAGGAA